TGTTTCTGTCTGTCTGTGTCTGTCTGTCTGTGTTTCTTTCTGTCTGTCTGTGTCTGCCTGTGTCTGCCTGTGTTTCTGTCTGTCTGTGTCTGTGTGTGTTTCTGTCTGTCTGTGTCTGTCTGTCTGTGTTTCTTTCTGTCTGTCTGTGTCTGCCTGTGTCTGCCTGTGTTTCTGTCTGTCTGTGTCTGTGTGTGTTTCTGTCTGTCTGTGTCTGTCTGTCTGTGTTTCTTTCTGTCTGTCTGTGTCTGCCTGTGTCTGCCTGTGTTTCTGTCTGTCTGTGTCTGTCTGTCTGTGTCTGTGTTTCTGTCTGTCTGCGTCTGTCTGCGTGTCTGTCTGTCTCTCTGTTACTATCTGCTTCCATTCATGCCCTGTTTCATTAGGACCATTCTAAACCAATCCACGTATATTTTGGCACTGCGGCTGTATTTCAGACTTCTGCTTAACACAGCTGTGCCTCTACAGGTGAATCCAGGTGCATCGCCCTACACCCTATGGGTCACATGACTCATATTCTCATGCCCAACACCTTCCTAGCCAACAATTCTATCACTTATCGTGCAATAAAAGGCATAATGTACACATAAATATTACAGTCTTTAGGGAAATGTATGAGGCCAGGAATTAAGTAACAAAATACAAAAATATAAAGAAAATGCTGTTTCCATGGCAGCGAGACCATCGCTGTTCCTCACCCAGGAAAGCCCTAGAACCAGCTATGCTGGGAAAGGTGTTTTCTTATTCACCACCCCATCCTGAAATCAATTATGCTAATGAGTGAGACTAGGGGACTCTGGGTGTACATGGCAAGCCCCCGATGACTCGTTAAGGCTTCAGGTGCAGCCTTTGAGGTGGACAGATGTGCTCAGACAGCTGTTTATGCTATACCTCTGGATAAGGCATCAGGACACGCTGCAGAAGCGTTTGCTGAAAGGTCTCCCTTATATGCAACGGACCTGCATGCATTGTGCAGCATATTAAAAAATGGTTAAGCAGTCCTGCGACCTCCGGGTGCCCCTCATAGCGGGTGTGCACACGCGAGAAGACCACCAGAGCACGCGAGAAGACCACCAGAGCGCAGTTCTACCATCGGCATGGGCCTTGTTGGGCTGAGGAACGCGGCCAGGCATTACCTCAGCAGGCCGGATTGGGCCCCGACCCCCCCCCCACCATGCACACACACAGGCAGTCGCCAAGACGACGCTGAAAACACAGGTACTACCACGGCCATGTTAATTATATCCTGCGTCTTCTGGGAACGGTAAGGGAGCACTTATGATGAGAGCCAGTTATCCTCCCCCCCACCCGTCCCCCCTGGACGCAGGGACTGCACCTAAGCCGCCAACATCTCAGGTTACAGCTTCAAAGTTCGACCGGCAGATACCGAGATGCCTCCTGGGGGGAACTTCAGCCCCCTCTCCCTGCCCCCCCCCCCCACCTCCAGTTTCTGTCATTATTCCAGCAGAAGCACAGTAAACTGAGAGATAAAAGTCAAGGCTGTGGGACGATGGGTACAGTCGTGGGAGATGGGAACTAAAATGCTGCTCATCCGCAGGGCAGGGTGGGGCACTTTGAACGGTCGCGCAGCTCCCTCAGCAGAGCACAGTAACAAGAGACGGGTATCGAGTGGAACATGTTGCCCCCCAGTGGACCACTGCAGTACTGCAGCTCCCTAGCCCTCTCCTCTATCTCCTGTTACAGGGTTTCACAGGAGTGGGCATGTGGAAGAAAGCTTTGCCTTTGAGGGTGCAGCATCCTCAGGCCACGATGAACGTGGCCCGCTTCAGCGCTGCTGTGGTCAGTCCCCCTTCCCAGAGAAATTCACAGCCAGCTCTCAGCCGACACCCTGGCCCCAGCGTGCGACGCGAGCGGCGGGGGTCAGCCGGCCAGCGTGCTGTAGCGGCTCTGTGCCGTGGCTCCACACTGCCGCCTCTGTGCCGCTTGTTCTGGGCTGGAAACAGAACGTCGAACCAACAGGAAGCCCTTTGTCTGGATACGGAGACCGACGCTGGAGAACCAAAACCGACCACTTAAAACGCAAGTTCAATATACACTCACCTAAAGGATTATTAGGAACACCATACTAATACGGTGTTTGACCCCCTTTCGCCTTCAGAACTGCCTTAATTCTACG